CATCTTTATCTAGGTAGTATTATTGTTGTGTCTACGGTTTTGATTGGGGATTTATTGAATAGTTTGTATATATTCAATCTCGGCAAATCATCGAACTTTTAAAACTCTATTTTGCAAATACACAAGATAAAAAATTAAGTTAGGCAATTTTCCTTTCGATTTTGATAAGAATTGAATGAACAATAATTTTATTTCGTTATCGTCTGACACATTTATGAAGTCGAAATAGAAGATCGAAATCCCGTGATAAAGTATATTCATGGCCATTTATTGCCTCGCTACAACATTCCAGCTGAGAAACGACACGTTCCCAATATATCACCGCCAGTCTATGGGGAGATGCTCACGAGAAAGCGACACATTTTTGATGAAATATACGGTAACTATGAAATTAGCAGTGAATACCCGGTTCTACTAGGGTGAACAGGGAATTTTTTTAAAATAAAAAAAGAATGCAAACAAAGTCACATTAAAAATCAATTTTGCGTGTGGCAATGTGAATTTCTCTAGCTAAAATGTTTCTTATTTTGGGGGCCACGTGCAAACGGCTTTCTTAGCCTGGTGACCCATTCGTGATTCTTGGTCTGTTCTGGATATTTGGCAACACTACTATCTAAGTCCACGCGTATTGTGGTACAGTACAGGATAAAGTCACTTATTTTTCGTGTTCATGAAAGTTGTAATTGAAAAATATGTTCAACTTGCCAATTTTTTGGAATCTCATTGAAGTCAGCCAGTGTTTGTGTGTCACTGTGAACCCCAAATTGAGAATCAAAAGCTGCATGCTTTCAATATTTAGTGATAAACGCATTGCGTATCCTGTTCTCTTGATAATTCGGATGTATCGGCAGCAACTGGAAGAATAAAGAAATAACACGTGAGTGTTAGAATTGTTAATGCATTTATAAGAATTTCGTTGGTCTACTTAGACAATCATATCGTGTTTTCCTATGCTTGCTTTGCTATTAATTACACTGATTCCGTATTTTAGAAAAGATTTTAGTCGGAATTTATGTCTCGTGTAGAAAGTACCACAGACAGTCCCAGTGAACGGGTTCTAACAACTTTCGCCTATATATGGTATTTCGCACTGATACCGTATTTTGCTACAGCTTCCAAAATTTACGCCACAATCGAACAACAAACCTTTGCAAATTAAAGAGATCCTCCATGGCCCCGCTATGATAAGTAGAATGCCACGTACACCAGTAAATTCTCGTGTTAATTTTGCCTAAAATAAATATGAACCGCTAGAGTGAAATCAAATTCCATTGATTGACGTTAACGAAAGCATCGTTAATGAAATGTAGTGATTTTGTGAATGTAACAAGTTTGATAAGTAATAATGTTTAATTAATAAGTAAAGAAATTATTGGTAACACTTTATCTGTAAGGGATTCCTAACATTTTACCTTGGAATAAGCTCTATGCAAGCAGAAACGAAATTATCAATATTGATATTATTGATAGCGACACACTATTAACGAGGCTTAATATTTAGCAACACATCTGTGACAACATGTTATTTTAAATCCAACGATAGATGAAGTTTAGTATCACACTTTTGTCATAAATAGGATTACCATATTTTTTGGACTTCAAAGCGGGACGCCTCTAAAGACACGACCCCTTAGCTGCTGTGATCATGTAACTTTACAGTTCCCGATTTTACTACATAGGCCTAAATTCAAAGCCATACCGGCTGTCTTCACTGACCATATTGTCATCGAAAGTTCATGTGCATATTCTCTGTCTAAATATCGGGTTCAGTT